ACGTGTATGTATGTATGTATGTATGTATGTATGTATGTATGTATGTATGTATGAATGTATGTGTGTATGTATGTGTGTATGTGTGTGTGTATGTATATATGTAGGTAGGTAGGCAGGTAGGTAGGTAGGTAGGTAGGTAGGTAGGTAGGTAGGTAGGTAGGTGGGTAGGTAGGTAGGTAGGTAGGTAGGTATGTGTATGTGTGTGAGTGTGTGAGCATGTTTGTGTTAGTGTAAGAGAGGGAGAGAGAGAGAGAGAGAGAGAGAGAGAGAGAGAGAGAGAGAGAGAGAGAGAGAGAGAGAGATAGAGAGAGAGAGAGAGGGGGGGGAGAGAGAGTTAGCGTGCGTGCGTGTGAGCGTGCGTGCGAGCGTGTGTGTGCGCAAAAGCGTCTACGAGAGAAAGGGAGATAGAGGACGGGAAGTAAAAAAAGGAAAAGAAACATTTCTTGCATAGGTTATCAGCAACAAAATTCTTCCGTTGTGAGTCTATTTGTTCGTCTTTTAGTATTACTGTCCCCAGTGGCAAGCACATTATTATATAAGTTCTTAAAGCACAAGTTACAATGAGTTTAAAGATGGAAGTAGCAGACAAACTATACCATCTGATAAAGTGAAGAAATCATTTTTAAAACAAAGTTTGAATTTAAGAAACATCTACAGTTACAATAATGATACAACCCACATAATATGCAGTCATATGACCATTGTAGCAAAGTCTGTTATGAATTTGACAATAAAAAAAGACGACTGCGATTCAAATCCAAGCAATGTCAGAATTTTTCTCATCCTCCGGGAGAAATTTCCTCTCAGTCCATTGTCCTGTTGAGAACACAAGGGATCTGTCCTCGGTATCACCTTTTCTTCACCAATAAAGACATAAAATGTGCAATAACAACCAAATAAATAAAAACACCTTACCTATTTGGTGGATACCGTAGTTCAAGATCAGCATCCAGAGTATATCCAGCATGGATTTGATTTCATTGTGAACAATATCTGAAATAAAAAAGAAATATCAAGTGAATGACATTGTTTGAATGCGTAATATGAAGTCGTGTTGTACCTCGTCAGTAAACTGGAAGAAATAAGCCGAACAAGGGAGTTAATGTGAAGTCGAGTTGCTGTCAGTAAGGAGTAGTACAAGAATATAATTTGCTAGCTTTAGAGAAAAAGAGAGAGGGAGATAAAATTATATGTGCTTTCATTCAGCAGGAAAACCAAGGTCACTATTATTGTCGTTTGAGAAAATAATACTGACGTGTAAAAAAAAATCAGGTGCATTGTCGGTTGAAGAAGTTGCAAGTGATTATCCTTCCAACGAGAAGAGTGGGTGGCAAAAGAAACAGAGGACGAACATTTTATAAACTTGAACATAGCGTCACATCACTTTATTGACAAGTGCCGCACTTTCCGGTCGAAACGGGCACGTGCTGAATTACAATGAGGATGACCATGGTTCAAATCCTATTTTTCTTGATAATCGGGGAATTTCACGACTGTCGACCAATATGGCGCTGATCTGTACGAGACAGACTTAAACTTCGGGAGCTGTACCTCTTTTTAAAAAAACTTGCAGTGTTAAAAGGGGATTCAAAAACGTATGTCATACATTCAATACATGTACAGGTGAAAGCCATCCTTCAGGAAATCTCACTTAAAGACTTCCTGACCGTACCCTTAACGTAGACAGCGCTCTTTGTGACGGGATGTGGTTGTTGAAAGCAAGAGAGGCAGACAAAAACTAAAGAAGGCAAGAAAAGGAGAAGGGCTGGACATACCAGTGGTGCCCTCCAACCACCACCCATTAACCTCTGTTGAAAGAACATGAATAAATTCTCTCTCTCTCTCTCTCTCTCTCTCT